GGTAAATTTTTTCATATAAGATTTTAGAGATCGACATCTATATGAAAACCCATTTTTCATATGTAAATTGCGAAAGTGACTTTTTTCTGTCGCTGATTTCAAGGGTTTCTTAAAAAGAAATTGCACTTGTAGGACGCATTTCAATAGTTTGGCGAGGCAAGTACTTTCTTGTATGTGTATTTAAATTTAGATAAAAAACAAGGTTGAGAATAATCTCATCTGCAAAGACAGGAAAAGTGTTCGTGACAGTGGCAATAGAAAAGTATCCATTGTAACAAAACCTGAATAATACCTTCTAATAAGTATAAGCACTAGACTATTATTTTAAAAATCAGGCTTCCTGTGATTATAAATTTTATAAATTATAAGAAAATTTTTATGATAAATGGTATATACTATTTTTTTTCTTAAGAGCTTATCTTATAATTTAAAACTTAAAGTACAGAAATAATAATAATAATAATAATAATGATAATAATAAAGAAAATGAAAATAATTATAATTACAATTATAATTATAATTACGACTGCTTGCTTTAATTAAAATTTATGTTAATTTATTGAATTTTTAAAATTTATTTAAGATTTAGATTTATTAATACTTACATGACTAAAAAAGTTTGCGAATTGAAATACATGAACCGTCATATGTCGAATATCTTTATAACCGCCACCATCACAGGTATTTTTTGGTTTTTCCTTACGAAGGGTAATCTGTTTAAGAACGTTTGATAATTTAAAACGGATTTTTAAATAATTAGAATGATTATAGATTTATTAACACTTACACGGCTAAAAAAGTTTGCAAGTTGAATATCTACATCATAGCTGCCGCAGATATTTTTTGGTTTTTCCTTATGAAGAGTCATCTGTTCAAGAACGTTCAATAATTTCATTTGTTTAATGTTCATTCTTATTGCAGACCGGCCATATTGTTGACTATAACCTAGAAAAGGTATATCAAGGTTGGTCGTCCGCTTACTCGAATTGTGTTCAGGACCTGATAATACTGCAAGACACTGCCCCATGATGTGGAACCCCTCGGAAGCTCAAACTCATCATGCGATAGACCCCTTCAAACCGGTCCATCATGTAGGCTCTTCCCTGAGAACAAAGAATGAAAAAAAAATACTTACCAGATACGAGAAATCTTGATCGTCCTGGAACCTATAATCCGCAAGTAAGAAGCTCCTCTCTCTACGAAACTTATTCTCAGAAAGTCATAAAAGCCCTTTGAACTTGCAAAGTTCAGTAATATTCTTTCTTCGTTCTATAGAAAAGTAAATGAAAATGTTAAAGTGTACGGTTTTTGCTGTGGGAATAGATGTTCGCAATACATGCAACTTTGATTTGGGCAACGTGATCTTAAGATCACATGAAAGATCGTCGCCGATAACGGTGTCGCATCTTCCGTGTCTTCGATATCTTTAATAATATCATTGGCATAATTAATATAAATTAATAGTCTTAAAAATATCAATGTTTTAAGTGATAAAAATGTATATAAAGACTTATCTTTTTACTGAAATAAACATAATATAACATTGCTTCTAAGTTCAAATACTTTGTTGATAAAAGCTCGACAAGCTAAATTAGTGATTTTATCTAACCTAATATGCTATCGCCCCTAACGTGCTATCGTCATAACGAAGAATTGATTATTTTAACCAAGTAAAGCTTCTATTAAAAAAATTATGGAAGGATTCTTACATGAGGTTTATAATGGCTTCGATCAAGAATCTGACACTGACGTTGGGCAAGCAATGGCGGCACATAATGAAGTTTTCACATTTGACTGGCATTCATTGAAGAAAGTACAAGAAATGATAACTGGGTCTACTGAAGAAGCGGATGATGAATTCTTTAAGAGTGATGATAATGAATTCATTGAGAGCGATAATGGAATAGAAATATTTAATGAAGAGTTTGAAAAACCAGTTCCTCCTCTTGCTTCTGGCCACGATACCAAATTCACGCATTGCATTGTTATTGACAATGACAATGATTAAAACGTAGTCCAAAGATGCAACAACATGGGAGTTCGTCATGTGGAACAACTATCTGGTACATGGGAAATTGATTCTCAAGCTGTAAAAGAAGTTAAAGATGAAGTCTCAATGTTAGGCATTTGTCTATGCCATCTTAATTATGATCAAAACGTTATACACAAACCTGATTGGGGAAGACGCATAAAGGCGGCACGATCAATTGAAGAAAGTATGATTACCTCACGTCGCTGTCTATTTTGCTATAAATATATATGCTTTTTTACAAGAGGTAAAACATGCGCACTACATACATGGGAAATATGTGAACGCACAATTCAAGCTCCATGCCGTGGATTATTCAACTGCCCAGCAATTACCGAATATGATAAGCTGTCAAAGAAATTATTTGTTGATTATAAACCTCGTTTCATTTGCACAAACTGCTTTGTAACGCACGGAGGTCACCTACATATTCAGCCAGGAAAAGGAAAACGATCAGCTTCGTGTTTAGAATGAGGACAACACAACACTGATACTACATTTTCTTTGAAGTTTTTTAGTAAATGGATTGAGCAGACCACTGAATCTGAAAATGAAGCCTTAAAGGTTAATTTATTAAAGGAACTTACTAAAATTCTCGGTAACATTACCATAGAAACATCTGAAACACAGGATTCTATTAGTGTGCCTTCTACCGTTTCATCAATTCCTAGTCTTTTTCTAATAAAGACAGCATTTGCAATTAAAAAAATTAATATTAACAAGGTAGAAGAACCGCCATTAAAAACTGATACATGTAGAGCCTTTGGAAGAAAACTTGCCCACTCCATACTAAAGGAACAATCTAAACTCAAGAAGAAGCTACAGTCACTTGAAGAGCCGGAATCCCTCGAGGAATACTGTAATGCTATGCCGTCACCTCTTATTGATTTTTTTATCAGCTTAATTTCAGTTATAAAAGAGAAGAGAATGCATGTGTTAGCTAGAAAATGAAGAGAGAAAAATATGCCGCCACCACAGTTAGATGAAAAAAAAATCAACTTAATTTCTCTTTTCTTCTCTTCCGTGATACTTTCTATTGCCTTTCATCATTGGAAGATATGGCTTACATACGTTCTTTCTTCTCTTTGTCGACGGCCAAAGATGATAGGATCCTTATATAAAATTCTACATGCAGTTCAGGTGGTATCGTATGTTAGAGATCATGAAGTACATGTGCAAAAGAAAAGAATGTCAGCTACAGAACCTCGGTTAAGGCTTAACCTACATCCAAATATTTTAAACATTGCAGCTATAGATAATATTGACATGAAAGATGAGACCTTCCAATATGGCAATATTTATGATATAACTCGAGGTACCGCATATGTAACATTGCGGATGGTCTTTCAGTCCCAACGTTCGGAGCTTATTAATTTAGACGGAGAACCAATGGAAAATCAAAGCCTTTTTGGCATAAGTTCAGTTATGGAAAAATGGCAAGCAAAAGTGGATACGGTCTTTAATCAATTAGTTAGTCAAGAGCCGACGTTTGACATTGAACATGTTGATGCAGCTATTAGAAAGGATGTTGACCTGGGATTATTTATAGCACCCCCAAACGTTGTGATTCTTGAACCAGGAGAAGCTCCAAACAAAAATGTGCATGTTCATCAAGCCATCAATATGTTCCTAGAAGATTTCGGCTATACTGAGAATGGTGTACTAAATTTGGTGTGTGATGAAGCAATATATCGTCGCATGAAAGACTACAAGAGTGAAGAACAGACAGTGCATTGCGTTCTAGGACAATGGCATGTGAGCAAGGCAATGTGCAATACGTTAATTACCACTTTTTCGGGCTACGGACTTTTTGGACTTGCCGCACAGCTTGGTGTTAAGTTTCTCGATAAACTTGAACAGGTTGCTGACTATCGGGCAGCATTTAAAGTGCTTGAACTCATTTGGGCAGCGGTAGGAGTTGCAATTCATCTATATATTAAGGAGAAAAAAATTTCTATTAAAGACGTTCCTAAAGAAAACAATAATCTTTTAAAAGTGTGGTACAATTTTTACCAATGGGCAGGGTACTTGAAATTACACAAGCTTGGCATTCGTATGGCAAACTTTGATCTACAAATGCATAGCTTGATGGCATTCGCACCTTTATTCCCTATAACGGGGAAAAGAAGATATGCTGAGTCTGTGGCACGATTTTTATCAGATCTTCAAAGCAAACCACAACTTCTTCAAGATCTTCGGTCAGTGCCCTCAATTAATTTGACGCAGAAAGGACATTACTTTGCTCTTGACAAGGCTCTAGAAACGTTCGGAGTTAAGTTTATAAAGGAAAATATGACTGGCCAGACAACGAATTTAGATAATCTAAAGCTGAATATCAAAGCAGCACAAGCAGAATATGATCAACTTGATTTACTAATTTCTGAGTTTACTAGAGATCAGTCGCTAAACAGAACTCCACGGTCCGTTAAAGATCGTCAAGAAGCTCTTTGGATGTTAATTGTTAAACTAGAATTAGGATTTAGAAACCCACAACCAGAATTACACACCTTATTTACAGGAACTACGCAGTTAACAGATGATGGTTATAAACGGATGCTTACTTGTTACAAATCGGGAATCGAAAGAATGAATGCCATTGTTGAGCAAGATATCTATAATACTGCTATACAAGTAAAGGCAGGACAAGGTAGATGGGATTTAGTACCTATGAAAGTAATAAAAAATAAGAAACGTGTAAGAGCAGAAGTCGAGCATATAACAGAAGAGGCAAACAGCGGTTCTGTATAGGTTCCAGAACTAATACCATCATTTGAAACCAGTCTATCTTCAGAAATCGCATCACGTCCAATAAAACATATAACACATAAGCCCACCGCTGTTGAAGAACAGATCCTAAAACAACTTGAAGTATATAAAGACTCCACTGTATTGTCCAAGGAAGTTGTCAATGAGCTAGTCGTAAATTTATCACAATATACTGATTACTGGATGCCAAAACGAATCCGAGATCGATGGTATAATCGATATAAAAGAATAACTAGAAATTAGTATTAAATAGCAAGTGATCTACGTACTATAAAACAGTTTTCCTTGATTTTTCTTATCACATTTATAATGTACAGCCTCTTCGAAGGTGCATTTTGTTGAAAGCCCTTACTTTGGTGCAACTGGTGAACCATTTTTCATGCCAAGAATTTGCGAACTGAAGAATAATCTAGCAAAAGAAGATGAAAATGTTTGCCATTTTCAAAGACGTTGTTTTTTATAAGTAGATGTTGTTTTTTCACATTCTATATACTGTTTTATTTGTAGGAACCTCAGTAACAATTTTGTTTTAAAGAACTCGTTTTGTTTTGACTAAGGTTTTTTTTTAAACTTTTAAAATGTCGTCATATCGATTTGTGTAATTAATAAAAATCATATCTTAAAATATTAGATGTGAAAAATCGTGTAACTGTTATCTTTTATTTCTTATTTTACATTTATGGTACATAAGCCTTCCGGAAGAACCAATAAGGACTTATGTATTAATAATATGTATTTTTATTTATGTATTTTTATATTTATTTATGTAATGGAGAATAGCTATAAAAAGGGAACCTTTTTACCTTTGTAAAAACTCAGACTTGTACTTCGCTTGAGTTAATAAAATAATAATTATTCTCTGAATAAACATTTGTGTCTTTTTCTGTGGTTTCCTTTTGCCGAATTACAAGCTCATTGTTTAAATTGTTTCAATACATTTAAACTTTTACATTAAGTGTCACCTAAGTTATATGTTAAGTATTTTGCTCAAGTTAAGTGTTTTCATATATGTCACTCAAGTTAAGTGTTTTCATATGTCTCGCTCACTTCTACCTTGTCCTATCTATTTATTTATCTATGATTCTCTTTTCACTTATAGTGACATCATCTCGTGATTCACTTCTATAGACTATTTCAGATTTATGACGGTTATAACTCCAATTTTAAATTTTACACTTATTACATTTGCTTCATGATTAAACCCCTGATTAGACGTGATATGCAAAAATCGTGTTTGCAGCCTAATCGGCTTAACTTTTACCCCAAACAATATGAAATGACTTCTTATGAGAA